CCTCATGGCAACTCTGCAAAATCTGGTTTAGGACGTTGCCCAAACTACCATGGAATAACAATGTCACTTTTCTTGGTGAGCAAGTGATAAAAGGATTGTGGGATGACTCTGGGGGTCAAGACTACCAAGTAACACAGAGGGTAATGCTCTTGTCCCACTTGTGGACAGAGCTGGTCTTTAACATAACCCACATCAGAGATGTCTTCTTTCCATTTTTGAGAGAATCTTAGAGATTGCACCAGACCAGGGCATACAACTTCTTGTGGAACTGTACGTTCTGAACAAAAGCCCAGAGTGGAGAGCGGAGCAGGAACTCACAATCCAGCGCTTCACACCCACAAGGACAGCCTGGTTAGGAGGAAGACACCTGTAGCAGGGCTTCTCGTTCTGTCACTGCGGTGGGCCCAGGGAGCTGTATTTCTGACCAAGCTTTTGGGCAGCTCTGCTCCAGGGGCCACAGGCTGCTCTTTGGGGTACTCATGGACATCTTTCCAGAGACTCCTCTGGAAGCAGGTGGTCTTCATAAGTCAGCATGTAGATAAAAGTGCTTCTCCTGCCCCTAGGTCTGGTTGGGTTTTGGGGGAGAAAACTGCCTGTCTTTACTCTATCTCTGTTCCCCCTGCCCCCAGTCTGTGTCATTGACAACTAGTATCATTGTGCTGACCTGATTTCTCCTTTAGCACGTGCCTTTAAATGAGGCCCTGAAAATGCTGACAGGACAAAAAGCTCTGGCCTCTCTCCCTGTTCAGGTCCAAAGCTTGAGATCTTAACAGAGAAGTGAAGGTGGTCATAGAAAGCTGGGACCGAGGCGGCAGAGCAGGTAGAAGGCACATGTGTGTCTTGAAGAAAAGAAGGGAGAGCCAGACATTACTGGCCTGCTGTAGGTTACCAGCTGTTGGGAAAGCAGTACTGAAGTGGCCCAGGGAACGTGGCCCATGGGCTGGAGGGGCGCAGGACAAGTGTTGTAAGTGGGTAATGTCTCCACAGACACTTACGACATAAGATCTAGTGTCACCAGGGTGTTTTTAATAGTTTCATTCAAATCTCTTTACCTATTCAACTTTGGTACATTCCTTAAAATTTCTTCTATCTTAAAAAAACAGCAGTTAATAATGCAATTGGCTAAATCTTTGCCACTTGAAATGACATCTTCCATTCTTCTCTTACCTGGGCTCTCCAGAACACATTCTCATGGCATTCTCGAAGAAGCAAAGACTCCCAGAAAAATAGAAGATAGTGAAGCTAAAGAACACTGTAGCAGAGCTGCTGGTGAGAAAATAGTTACATCCACAGCACATGCCACACCCTTCCTGGGAAGACATCACTGGCCTTGAAGCTGGTTTAGTACATCCCAAAATATACCTCACAGAAAGCAGTTACTCTCCCAAAATAGGCCCTATAATTAAGTAAAGTCTTTTCAAGTGGATTGTTCTGTAGCACAACTTGACATATGCTGCTTTAATCTGCTCGCTTCAGCGAATGTAGCCACGTTGGTCTATAAAGGCTCTCCACTGCTCACACTTAAAACGACTGTGTTGTCACTAGCAAACCGAGGCAAATCAACAGTGCTGTGTATCAAAATGATCAATTGCAATCATCTGTAGTGAGATCACTCTTCTCCCTAAGAACATTTTCAGCACACCAGAATCGCTACCTTTGATTCAACAGGAAGGGCCAGTCCAGGTGAAATACCACTGTACCTCTGAGGTCATCTTAAGACAAATCAATCTGAGGAAGCTGGAGCTGAGTCGTAAAGCACAAGACAACCTCCTTTATGTGAATGCAGGGCTCGTGTGTGATCTTCCTTTGCTCTTTACGGGCTGGCTCTCAGTGCAAGATCCAAGACCCAACTGTCTGAATTCACGTATGTCAGTTTTTGCTTGGAGCCAAGGCTATGGAAGAGGCAGCTTCTTAAGAACCCCTTCGGTCCTCTGAACACATTTATTCTTACAAACAATTGTATATATAATTATAATTGTAAATATAATTATATCTATATAATTTAAATACTTAAAATTTAAACCTTAGAACAATGAGTACTGACACTCAGATTTTGTTACTTCCAACGTCAGGTTCTCAGCCTCAGCCCTACTGACCCGTTGGGATGGTTCGCTCTGTGTGCATGCGTGTGCTTGTGCACATGTGTGTGTGCATCTCTGTCCTATACACTGGAGGGCACTGAGTAGCATCCCTGGCCTCCAGCCACTAGATGCCACTAGTACATACTCGCCCTCCCTCAGTTATGACCATACAAAATGACTTCAGACATTATCAAATGTCCTCTGGGAAGGCAAACTAATCTATTTGAGAATCACTGCTATTTATGTACTAATATCTCATCCTTGACATGAAGGGGCGGGGTTGGATCTACATTTTTCAAGGGACCCAGAAGTTTAGCTTTAAAAATTACAAACTCCCCCTGACTCACAGTGAGGAATCAGGTTCTGTGACACACTACCATCTCACAAGAGTTATACAGACTGATGCCTCCATTTAAGGGTCCCTGGATCCGCTCCACTTTGGTCAGGACACTGATGATGTCTCTTGAGCTACTACCCTCCCTCCCTGCAGAAGCTCCATTCTGAGAAGAAATGTCTGGCAGAACTCCTTTACAGTCCATGCTAGGCACTTAGTACTGAGAGTGACCGATGAGGATTAGGGCTGGGCATCTAGTAACCTCACCCACATAGGCAATGTGTCTGTGCCAGACCCCTGAGGCATAATGTTCTGTGCTGGTCAAATGCAGGGAAGGGGCTAGGGAAGCAGACACCTCCTCAAAGAACTCCGTGGAGTGAGGAAGGACATGAAAATAACATCAAAGGATGAAGAGTTCAAGAATGGGAGACAGAAGTTCAATCTGGAGAAGGGATGGTGTGTCTACATATCTAGAGGGCTGGTGTCTGGGAAGGCAGGTGTGGTGCCTGCCTATAATCCCACTACTCTTGGGAGGCTGGGACAGGATCAAAGTTTGAGCCCAGTAAAGAATAAAAAAGGGCTGGGGATGCAGCTCAGTGAGAAAGGGCCAAGGTTTCAATCCCTAGTACAGTAAGAAAAAAAAAAAAAAAGAAAGAAAGAAAAAGAAAGACTAAGGAGCAATATGTGATTCAACAAATATCTGAATATTTGTCACATTCCTTTGGTGTGCTGGGCACCGTGACAACAGTAAGGGACAAGACCAAGGTCCCGTCCCATGAAGTAAAGAACGAAGTCCAATCTGAAAACTAGATTGTTATTCTTTCCTCCCAGCCTCTTGCCTTTCTTTTCTTAACAGCTCATTTTTTTTTCATTTTAAAAATTAAGTATTAATTCACATACTGCAAAATTAACCCCTTGTAACGTATAGTTCTCCGAGTTTTCCCAAAAGCATGGTTGCATAAATACCACATCATAATTAAGATACGGTCTAAATCACTGCTCTAAATCATTTCCCTGTTGGGCTGGGCATGTCGCTCAGTAGTAGAATGCTTACCTATCATGTGCAAGGCTATGGGTCTAAACCCCAGTACTCCACACACTCCCAAAGTTCCTTAATTGGTTATTATTTTATGTTTTCATCTTTATGTTTTCATTAAGACAAAATACATAGCTACACGGGATACAGTATGGTAATCTGATACATGTATAATGGTCAAATCAGGACAATAAGAAATTGGGTCAGGTACTTCATGAGATCATGTCCATCTCTTTGGGTCCATAAAACTAGAATGTGGTCACCTTCGGACCAGGACCTTAAACATCAGCCCACTCAGTGTGGCACAGGTGGTTATTCTCAAACCTCAAAGCCAAGTTCTGTTAGTCCAAACTAGACACTGTCAGTTCAGTAATGGGATCTTTGTGAAGCTACATAATAAACATAGACAAAAAAAAAATCAAGATTTGAAAATGAAAGCCTAAGCATGGCAATCGCAGTATAAACTGAGAGTATTTCCTACCCTGAGCCCCTTTTCTCCTTGTTGACTTGGTTCACCATAACAGTAACTGAAAAAAAATTGAAAAAAGCTCCAACTGTAAGGTTTCACATGGCCACAAAGGTGACAGGAAAGGAAGTTTGACAAGATCAGCTTGTCTGAGAACGGGTCACCAGGGCACAGAGGAAGGCATATGTTACAAAGCCTTCCAGGCTCACAGTGGCGAGGTCGCTGGAGGGAACCATGAGGAGCAGCTCTAGTGCCCCTGTGACAGTAAGTGGGTATGACTGACCCATCTCAATAGCCTTCCTGCTGGAAGATGCACATTTCAGGTAGTTTACCCTCAGTGGCAAAGGTCCACCTCCAAACAAGGCTGCTCTGTGAGGAAGAACCTCACAGCACTGAGCATGCACTATGCCCCCCACACTGCTTAATTCATTTCGTCCTCACATAAACCCCAGAGGTAGTAACATTAAAGGTCTCATCTTATAGAAAAGGAAACAGAGATTCAGAGAGGTTATGTAAAAACTAGAAGGCGCAGAAGGTGTCCTGATCCCAAAGGCTGTCCTCTTTATTACTGCGAGCGAGGTGTGGGTAGCTGCTGAACGGAATGTTCTCAGACTCTCGCTGCTGCTATCACACTGGTCTGTGGGCCGGCTCATACTGGATTCTTAACTTCCTTTAATTCCCCATTCAATAAGCAGCTAGCTGCCTCCTTCTCTCTCACTTCAATATATGGGTCTCCCTGCCTTGGAGAGATTATTTTACTCTGGTCTGTAAGTTTATTACTCATATTACAAAACTGGCTTAGAACATAAACTAAACTGCCAAGGATGTTCTTACCCTGTATGTAGAACATTTCCCAAATCTAGACTTGTTGGACTTTAGAAAATCCCATATTGCTTAATAACATTAATAAAAAGGAAAAATCACATTGCCAGGAAATAGCAATGCAGTGCTTCATTCAATTAAAAATTTCAATTCTTTCCAAATGCAGTGCAGATTTAAAAGGTGTACAGAATAGGCAATGGCATGCCTTCATGAGCACCGTTAACAGTGAAATGTATTAGAAATAAATGCAGCAACACTTACTAAAATTTCTGCCAACTACCACAGACTTTATATGCACCACATGTCTTCTCCAACAGCAGCAGGACTGGTCCTGAAAAACAACAGAATGAAAGAAAAAACTTATTTAATAGGCAATTTAGCACACGTTGTGCTTCTCCTTTGATAAAACAGTGACCTCTTTCCACCGTTTCATGTGCCCAATGATGCACCAAACTTCACCTACCAATTTTCCCTTTGATTTTCATAGGAAGATGAAACCAACTCACAAATACCTTTAGCACATACTTATACAGAAAAAAAAGGACAATAGAATAAGCCAGGAAATGTGCTTACAAGCATTTTGAATTTTAAACTCTAAAATAATCAAAGACAAGAGAACAATGGAAAAGTATTTAAAATTGAACTCATAAGGTTTCACCCCCAAACCAATCCTCTTTCCTTTTTTTCAGAAACACCCTCTCTCCAGCTCTGAGATCCCAAGCTTGGTTAATATTAATATGATCTCATCTCTCTTTGGCAGCTTGAGGTCCTAAGAAAGTAGTGACCCCTTAACACTCTACAAGTAGATTATAAATGACTGAAGTTAGGCAACAAATAAATATGCTCTCTTCTTACTTCTCTTCAGAAAGTGAATGCCAGCTGTTCATTTACATACACACACACACACACACACACACACACGACTCCTGTGTGACACAAGCACAATTCCTGCCTTCTTGGAGCTCTGAGTCTAGCCACTTGCTCCAACTAGTTCTGAGTAGCTGGGAATCCTCATCCTTTCAGGGCCTCTGCATAGACATTAAGGAACAGGCAGCGATGCCCTGTGTGGACCTATGTTATTAGGGCCAGTATGAGTTCCTTCTCATCTACTCAAGACCAGGTGAGATACTGTCAAGTCTCACAGATGTGAGCCTATGGTTTTGGGGCAGGTGGATCAAATAGGTGGCCTGGTAAAATTCTGTGTCCTGCTCCAAGTACCCTTCCGAATGATGCTGTGTTTGTGTGGAAGCCAGAGATGGTAGCCACCTAAGCTACTGTCTCACAAAGCTCTGCTCCAAACTGGCCACATGCTTCACTCGGAGCCCTACTGAATCTCAGGATGGACCCTAAACTGTCTTATGTTTTTTCCTAAATTGCTACTGTGCAGGATTCTTAATGTGTTTTGTCAAAACAAAACAGAATACACAGTTCTTCATTTTCAAATGAAGGGAGCATAATGTTTTTATCCATTGAAAACTATTCATCAGGACATTGTGACCATTCACTTTGGCAGAAATTCACCATCAGCAGCATTTTTCATATGCGACAATGTGTCAAGTGACTCTGAGGGAAGTGGGAGTGTACTCTCCCCTCCCTAGTAACTACTAACACTGAGCTATGCACTTGGAGAACAAAGGTCAGACTTGGCCTTTTCTCCTTCCCTCCTTCTTCTCCTTCCCTCCCTTCTTTCCTTGTATTGGGAATCAAATTCAGGGCCTCTGCACTGAGTTTCATCCTCAGCCCTTTTTAAATTTTGTATTTTGAGATACAGTCTTGCTAAGTCCCTAAGTGTGCTCAAACTTGTGATCCTCCTGCCTCATCCTCCTAGAGTGCTGGAATTTTAGACATGCGTCATGTGCCTGCTGATATACTCCTTCTATATGGATGGATACTTAGATCCATTTCATCTGTTCTTTTTGAGACATACCAGATACACATGTCATTAATCACTAATAAAAATAACTGAATGATAAAGTGGTGACTACTGCTTGTTTCTAAAGTTACAATGTCTACACCGTTACCAATGCCTAACAAGAAGTTTACTGGTGCTTCCACACAGCAATATACAGTGCTGCATATACTACTGCTTATACAGACCACTGTTGCGTGCTCCTGCTTCCTCTAAAGACGCATGGAACAAGTAAGTTTCCCTAACACTGCTCTCATCTCTGAGGGGGTCATTACTTCTTCCCAGTAGAGCCCCCACATTTCTCAGATACAACCTCTCATGAGCAGATGACAGTGCTCTCAGCTGCGGGGTGGGGACTGAACGGTCTAAGGCTTTGCAATGTGCCCAGCCACAATATTAGCATCACCTGTGAACTCCTTAGAAAATTCTGAGTCCCCTTCCCCAAGTCAATCTATTTCACAAGATTTGCCAGGGAATGTGTCCACACTAAAATTGCAGAGGCTCTGACCCAAGGAAAACCACTTTTTCTTGCCAGTGACTGCTTCAGATATAAGCGCTTGGCTCAGTTTAAGCCAGTGAGATGTGAAGAATGTTTTGCTGGGAGCTCCTCCTCATTCTTCAGGGAAAGAAACGCCTTCCTCCTAAATGTGGTGTGGGATGTGCTATCTAGAACTCTCACAGCTGTCTTGCTCCAGCCTAAAGACAAAGCTGGTTCTAGATGGGAAGAACACAGGGAAGCAGAGTGCAGGTCACTGTGTCAGGCCACCCTGAGGTCTGTGGCACCGCTGAGTTTCCAATAAATTCCTTATGTTTAGACCTCCTTGAGTTGTGCTTTCAATTATCTGCAGTTGGAAAACATTCTGATGTTTCAGCCCCCAACAAAGTATTATAAAAGGAACAGAATGCCCTGGGCTCAGCCTCACACTTAAAGAGCCCGGACAAGGCCAGCCACAAAGGAACCAGAGCAACAGTTCACTCTTTTGTTCAGGGCCCTGACCCAGTAGCATTTCTGGTCCTGACAACCATGGTTCATTTGTACATTTCCAAAAAACTTTCTAAATCAGCCATTTTCAATGACCAACCAGAGGAAATGCTGAACATTATTTTAACCAGGGTGATCAACAGTCTACTTCCGAAGAAGTCACATGGATGCCATTTCCTGCAAAGACAATGGGAGACTAATTGCTCATCCTCAGCCTCCAAAAGGGAGGACAACCTGCAATATGTAATTACTGAAGGGTAAATAAGCAAGAGCTTGAGGCTCTCAGAATCAGTTTCAGGGTCGGCTCCAGTTGTGTGGGGAAATGGCAAAAGGGAGAAAAAAAGATCCAGCTGTTCTGGGAAAAGATTTGAAGAGCAGCAGCTTAAGCAGCCACCTAAGCCATTTTTCACACACCACTGGTACTTACTAAAGCCCTTCTGGAGGAAAGCAAACAGGGCAGCTATCATACAAACCACATGTGGCCCTGGTATAATTTTTTTTTACATACAGGAGTGATGCAGTCAAGGAGAACTGGATGTTTAAATAGCCATTCTCTTTTTGGTGAGCCCTAGCTTTTTCACCACAAGAACATATTTTGGGTTGGGTTGAGGCTGGGTTTGTCATGTTGGCTCAATGAGGAGCAAGTGTTCTCCTCTCTCCAGTGTAACGCTGACTGTCTCCACAGCACATTTCTCCGTGTTCTGTATCCTAAGAACTCTTTCTTCTCACCCTCTGCTTTCTCTGTCCTGGTACCTCATACATGTGTGCAGTCTCAACTACCATCTTCATGTGATGAGTTTCAAACTACATCTCTAGATCTATGGCTTGTGCGCCCCATTCATCTCCCACCTCTATAAAAAGTGCCTTGACAACAGGGAACTCATTTTGGTCACTATTATATTCCTAATGCTTAGTACAGTAGATGGTGTGGAGTATGAAGATGTCTGCTGAATGAATACCTGAAAAACCCTGCCAGACTCAGATTGAGCTCTTGCTAACTGACCCCTCTGGTGCTATCCTCTCTTCTACCCTATCACACAGGCAAACTCTGGATCATACTGCCAGTCAGGTCCCTCTTAAAGCGCCTCAGATATGCTTTCCAACTGAGAAACTGGGCCCATGGAGGACAAGAGGCCTATTCAAGGTCTTACAATTAGTGGGTGGCAGAGACTGGATTTTAACATAGGTTGCTGACCCAGTGCTCTGGCTACCAGGCCAGTGACTAGCGCAAAAAACAATGTGTCTTTCAACAGAACCTAGTATAGGACCTGATATGTAGGCATGCACTTAAGAAATATATATGACTAAATGAATAAATTATCATTTAATTAATTACATTAATGTAGAGTAGAGATAAAGCCTGTCCCTCAAGCCAAATGGAATATGAATCCCTTCCCTTCAAGTTCTTGCCCAGCTTCTTCCACTAGCGTTAGCCTCCCCGTATTTGTCCTTCTCCCACAGACCTTACTGCGCTCCCCGAGCCCAGCTTCCCAGCCAGCTCTCTGCAGCCAAGAACCTGGTCTGAATTTTCCTTTGAGCCACAGGGACTTTGCCAGGCCCAGTGCCTGGCACAGAGGAGAGAACTGCTGCTCTCAAAGGGCTCTATTCTTTTAAATTCACCTTTATGACCAAATAACACACATTTTCAAGTCTTCCTCTAGTCTATGCAGGCTGACGACCCAGCAGGCACACACCAGCAGTCTACTTGCGGAGGAACAGTATGAATCGATGCTGAGTCTCATTTTCAAAGAGAACACTGGGAGGAGGCAGAAGAGAGAGCTCCCCTTCCCTCTCCAGCTTCTGCCACCATGGCTGTCCTGTGTGGCACGAGGGATGCAGGAGGGAGCCTGGGCACACAATCACAATGGATTTAAAATACAGTCCTGCTTCCTTCCATGCTATAATATTCTCTGCAAGCCTAGCGTCAATTGTCTGAAAAATTAAAGAGTTCCAAATGGTGAGGCCATACATGAAGCAGGCAAGCACACTAACAAGGTTCCATCACCAGGGAGAAGAGTGGGAAGTTGAAAACAGTTTGCTAGGAAACTAAGTCAGCTTTTTGATTGCCTATGGCCTTCCCTCCTCACTGAGGGATTAGTGAGGTGGTCAGAGAAGTGCCACTGACCCATGAGCTTCTCCTTCTGGCTTCTCTCCAACAAGGTGGATGGACTGAAGCAAGGCTGGGATGGTTGTTTTATTGTTTGCTAGAGTGGAAGCAAATAGGAAGGAGAGATGGCAGGGAGGGATTGGAGAGGAGACAGGTAAGTACGGGAAGACAGTAATTAGAGAATTAGAGACCATGAACTAAGAGGGTGGGAAGGTCAAACTACAAAGAGCTGGCTGCTCCTTTCCTCAGTTACTGCCAGGGCAAGAAGGGATCGGAGCCTTGTTGTTGAGCAAGGCACCATCAAATCTGCAAAGAGCTCATCTTCAGCTACCT